AGGCAAACCAACGTCACGAATGGTATCGCGTTATGTCCCACCACAACTCGCGCGATTACTTTTTTGCGCACGTTAAATTAGAGTTTTCTAGGCATATCGCATCTACCCGTATCATCATTCACTACTTCCCGCCGTAAAGCAACTCCAACGATTCGTTTATACTCGAGAGACTCATAAATGGGAAGCACGTCAGTTAAAATCGATTTTGCGAATAAAAAAGACCTCACGATGAGACGAATCACCGACACAAATAAAAACTTTAGCATCAATGCACCTTAGAGTGTCGAACAAGTAGCAAAATATCAAGACAGATAAAATAAGGTATCAATATATTTTCTTTAATGAGTTCCAAATACATCTATAATAATACGATAATCGTGGTTAAAGCAAAGTGATATAATATTAAAGTGACGACACGACGTTATCACGTCAAGTGCGTTATCTATATGGACACACATGTGCACGCATATCACCTCAAAATGTGCAAATTCTGAGGTCACGGGCGCTTATCTTAAATGTATTCGCATTGCTTTGTTTATTACTGATATTTACCTCCCAAAACACGGATGCGAGTTCTATCGCGAGTATCAGCGATAATCGAGCGCGATAAACAAAACAGTGTGACAGAACGGCATGCGTAAAAGAGTTGAGGAGCACATTCTTCTGAATTATTAATCATTAATGGGCCGAGCCTCATATAAGGACGGATTTACGTTTCATTTTCATTTATTTTTCTTCTTTTATCTTTATTTATGCGAAATACTAGAGGCTTTAATTTTGAAAAATATCGCGTACAAAAATATTAGGGAAATCTGTAATATACGTAACATGTAATATAATATTTTCATACATTTTCATATGATATTTTTTTAGAATACGGCTGCGGTTATCTTCGTTATCTCGATTTAATTGCAGTCCTATATCAAGTTAACGTTCAATATTAATAAAAAAAAAATTAAATTTTATACTTTTAGAACAAATTCTAATTTAATTAATTTAAAAAGATTTTATATTAAATTAATTTAAAAAGACTTTTTTAATTTATTGGCTCATTTTTCTACATTAGTTGTTAAATTCTAAACGCATTTGTCACAAATTCAAAAATTGGACTCGTTATTAAGAGTGATACTAATATAACCCTGATTTTTGCGGTGTTACTTTTCTCAAATGTAACTCCAGTCGGTGTGACGTACACTGAAAGTATCGCATCGCGTTATAAGCTAATCTATTGATTTCTACAAAATACTCCACCCGTATGCATTATGGATGCAGCTGCTTGTTGCATCGTACAACAATACTTGCGGGACAAAGTTCACTGCTATTCACGCATTATAAAGTATTTTTGTTATTGATTCTCTAAAGCCAGCGGCACACAATGCTTGTTTCTTGCTAGATTTCTAGATGGATTAGATCCTTGCCACCGTATTGGCTGCGGTGCTGACAATGCCAGTCGGCTTTAACTGCAAGACAAAAGATGGCTTAAGTTTCGGAAGTAGCAATGGTAACATCATAATTGCACTTTTGAAATTTTTGCAGATAATTTCTGGTAAAAATATAGACAACTAATTTCTGCAAACCTTAATTTAGAAATTCCGCGATTAAAAAAAAAAAAAAGAAAAAGTCATTCTATAATATTCATTACGCAAAATTAACAATTCAAGTATTTTATCATCTTTAATAATAGTTTTGCTTTAATCCAAGAATCACTTGGAATAAAATACCGATTTGCGAAAACGTAACGCGTTCGTGCCTGTAACACACGATGTCAACAACTAACGACAGTTTGACATTCCTCGACGTTCTACTGATATCAACAATTCTGTCGACGTCGACAATAGCCAATGCTCAGCCGATTCCGATGTCAGTCGCAATTCTCGCGATTCCCTCTGTCGACGGTACACGCGGCGAATAAAGGAGCACACACCGAGCGACGCGCGACGGCCCCGAGCAAGTGGCAAGCGGTTTCGCAATCGCGAAATCAAGGCGCGTCAACGGTATGCGAAGGGTAACCCCGAGATAACCCTGCGAGCAGTCATTCGTGAATTCATCATACCGTTATCCTCAACGACGAAAGTCAGAATAAAAAAAAGGTCACAAAATTGCGAAAATTCCTTTTCTCGCTCTTTTCAGAAAATTTGCAATATCTTGGGGAGAATTGCCGAATGCGTCCTGGTCGCTTAAATCGTATCTCAATATTTTATAATTTTTACTAAATCCATATCAAGTTTCCTAAACCGTACTATCACAAGATAAGACTCATAATTAACAATAATAAAACTAATAATTGATGTCAATATATATATCAATATACAAACGTTAAGTGCAAAAATATATTTGAACCAATTTTATTTTCACGTCATTTATCTTTTTATTATTGTTATTTAATAATTATAAAATATTTTATTTTCTTCAATAATTATATTAAAATCAGATATTAATTATAATAATTATTAGGTATTAGTTAATGATTTATTTTATTAATTTTATACTTTCAATTATTTTCATTTATAAATTCAATATTTTCAAAAAAAATACGATAAAAAATACCTATATATAAGTACAGTTTAGGCGACCGGTTGCCTGAATCATATCTTTTGCAGCATGTTGCAAAAAGACTTATAACAAATCAATTTGTTATTAGTGATAAGTTAAATATATAATAACAAACGTCCGCGAAATCTTAAGCTATAATTTCTAATTTCTATTTGAAACTCTTCTCTAATAGTAATCTTAATGGAAAAAATAAAAGGATATATCATTCGTATATCATAATGTTTTTTATAAGCGAATCGAACAACGCATTCTAGCGATGAGTATTAATTATGGCGTAGCGTGACGCTTATGTAATTTCAGTGGAAAAATGGCTTATTAAAACAAAGGACTTAGAGTAACGACATGTGATAAGCGACACGACAGAATAGTTATAACATATACAGTAGTGGAAGAGTTTGTACATAATGCTTGTTCATCACAATATGTATAAATGCTATGTGTGGGGGAGGAAACCTAAAAAAAAAGTTTGTACAGTAAACAAATCAATATTTTAGATTATGGATTTGTGTGTCATGATATTGCATTATCTCTCTATTGTCTTGTCTACAATAATATTGTGTAAACAATAAGATGTAAGAAACTGACCAATCATAAATCGAATGTTTCCATTACTTATGGCTTACAACTTACTACATCACTTATTACTTTCATTGTAGACGGTCCTTTACAGACTTTCTACATCGTCATCACCTAAGCTTTAAGTCTTAAGCTACAAGAAATTGACCAATCGATTATTCTTCTCACATTCGATAGTTAATGTCTTATGATTTAAGACTTAAAACTTAGGTAATAGTTTATTCTAGAAAGACATGACTAACCAAATCGCTTACTGTTTACATGTTACTCGCGTTATGTTTTTTGTGTGTCACAGTCTTGAAATATAAGAAGGCTCTCGCATTTATTCCTTCATTTCTTTCGCGTTACGCTAATTACGAAATTTTCTAATGATTTCGCAAATACCTGCGACATCAATTTCATCCTTACGAACGCAATACGTCTGCCTAGCTGGCCTCCTCACTTAACCAAATCTTAATTTAAAAAATTGTATAATGCGCTATTTATGCGCTATACACATCCGCAAACAAAAATTGTTGCGCTCATTCCGTTTAGCTAAAAAAAACATTTTTTGTTGGGAGGCTGGGTAGGCAGCAAGTCAGCCCCCCCCCCACCTGTTAAAACAATCGAAATGGAAAATTAAATACACAGGATTTATGCGCTACTATTTCCAAGCATTTTCAATTTTTGCGCTGCAACCTTAAGGCACTTCCCTCTTGGAGCGAACGGACATATTCACATCTAAGTCGTTAAAAATTGCAAAATTAAATACTCTCACTATGCAAAATAATTCTCTGATTTATGTATTACTATTTCCAAGCATTTTCGATTTTTGCGCTGCAATCTTGAGGCACTTTCCTCTTGGAGCGAACGGACATATTCGCACCTAAGTCGTTAGAAAGACTTAATGATAACGGCTTTACAAACAACAAGTCGCTTTTGGCGTTCGCTCGCGACTTTAAGTTGCAGCGCAAAAATTAAAACTGTGTGCAAAAATTTTTTTTTTAGCTAAACGGAATGAGCGCAAAAATTTTTGTCTGCGGATATGTATAGCGCATAAATAGCGCATTATTATACAATTTTTTAAATTAAAATTTGGTTAAGTGGGGGGGGGGGCAGCTAGGCAGACGTGAACGCAACAATCGCTCGGTGTCTTTGGCCGTGAGTGTGAACGAGTGAGAGAGCGCGCGACCTTATTCCTACGGCAAGCGCACGCGTTCCCGTCTTCCCGATCCCGTTGCATTAGTGCAACGCCGAGTGGCGTCGGATGCAATCGAGTGCAATGCGAGGACGACCATCGTAACGAATCGTCGCGGGGATCACCGTAGGGAGCGGCGTCAAAAAAGGTCTAGACTTAGGTCCCAGACATGGGATTTCCCCGACCGGATTTTTTCCCTCCCTTTCTCTCATCGTCCCTCTCTATTTTTCTCTCTTCCTCTCTCGTTCTGTCTGCCCCTTTTTCTTTCTTCCTCGCTCTTTACCTGTCTACCCCAAATGTCTGTGTGCATCATCTGTGCGATGATTCTTTATTATCTGAGATTTCGCTTCATCTCCTTTTACGAGGGTAAACGTTTCTTTAGGATGTATTCAATTTTAGAGAGATGGTCGTTTTGAAAAAAGAAGATTGTACAGTATAGTGTTTGAAATGTTAGCTGTTCTCTCTCATTCGCTCCGTCGCGCCGTGTTTCTCTTCCTTCTACGAACGCGGCGCCGTCTCGCTCGAGCCTTCCCCGCTCGCTTCGAAAAGAATCCTCCGTGATACGCAACAGGTTATCGAAAGGCACCCGTGTGCGCGCTCGCCGCGGCGCATATGTACGCAAATATGTAAATGACATTTGTATACACGCTCGCGCCTACACGCACACGCACACTCACGCACACACGGCACTCACCGTGCTCGGCGATCGCCAAGGATCCGGCCAGGAGAGCGCACAGGACAACTAATAGCAGGGAGATCCATGTCGACCTTCTACGTCCGTTTGCACCGTCAAAGTAGCACCACCGTTCCTCCTTACGCGCCATAATTGCGTCAACTTTGACACGACGAAGATTTCTATTCCGTCTCGTCTTCCCGCTTTATAGAGGGCTTCGCTCGAAAATTACCAACGCGAGCGTCGTGAGTTCCCTCGATAGCGCACTCGCCGACGAAGCGAATACGAAGCCGAGCGGGACGGAAAAACGGTGAACGCGCGCGCGCGCGGATACACTTGCGGCGGCGGCGGCGGCGGCGGCGGCGGCGGCGGCGGCGGCGGAAGAACGTGGAAGGGCAGAGCGAGGGACGGAGACGCACAAAAGGTGCGGGTGGCGAAGTGAGAACCGGATGGAGAGGAAAGACTGGGAATCTCTCAGAAGAGGGTGACTCGAAATTCGCGAAAAAGAGAGAGGAGTAAACGGGAAAGCGAAGGGAGAGAAGTTGAACGCGCCGCCTCGTGAACGAGTATAAGCGATTCTCGTCTCGCGGAAAGAGGATGCTCCGGAGTGGAATCGGGATAGATATAGGGATCCACCGGGGGGGGGGGGGGCAAAAAGAGCACGTCGTCTCCTTCGATCGTTCCGCGTAACTTTTGCCCGCGCGTGAACGTGCACTGTCGCGAGCGAACCCTGGGGCGAACGCCAGAAGCGACTTGTTAAAAGTTACAGTGGACACACTGACGCGCGAGAGTCTACTCGAACGGTTCGCGAAAAGCTGGTCCTGAAGCGCGACTCGCTCTTCAAACCGGTACCATCCGACGGCGGAGCACGACGACGACGACGACGGCAGCGGCGGCAGCGACAGCACTCGCTTACGACGCGAACGGCATGCTCGCTCTCACTAGTCACTCGCCGCGCTCGCCAATCTCTCTCGCCCACTCCGAAGCGACCTCGAGTATCTAGATGATCATCTAGGTAAACGTGCTCACATGCCAGATAACGCGCCAGAACGCTAGCGCAAAATTCGCACCATCGACTCGTTTCGACTCGCGTCTTTTGCACCATTGAATGATTGATCGCGATGTGTTTATAGAAGGTCGTTCTTACAAATTAAACAACGAACAAGTTAATTAAAAGTTAATTGAAATAGCAAATAAAGCCATATTTGAAAGAGTAAAACAGTTGTAACGATGAATTAAATATTAATGAGATAAGATAATTTTTCTTTTCTTACGAACTCTCGATATATCATGTATATTTATAAACGCGTGTGCAAACGTGAATTAATTACTGTCAAATAAAAAATGACACTTCCGCGCATAACGCGCCGCGAAATTTTCTTGTCGACAAGGAAGATAACTATTGTACCAAAGCAAGATAAGCTCGTCGCAAGAAGAAGGTACATATTTTATTGAATGTTTTCACACATATATTTACTTTATATATTTATTAAATTATTTGATGATGTAAGCAACGCGCAGATTACCGATTAAGACTTTCGATCATGTAATTATCTGCGAATCGGCGTTCATAGAACAAGGAACTTGTGGAAACGACTTCAAGCGAAGAAAAAATTTCTTTGCGAGGTGAATCGAGGAGTGACACTGACGATACTGGAGATATTTCCGTAAAATCGCTTCCAGAATCCTTCAGATAGGAAGTGTCGATCAGGTGACGTTGTCCAAAAACTGTCTAAAAAAATTATAAATTTTTAAAAAAATTTAACAAGTTACAAAATTAAAACATGAAAAAATTTCTTACAGCTTCTCAAATAAAAATAAAACATAAATAAATTCTCGATAAGTAAAATAAACATGTTATTAAAAAATCATTTGAGAAGCTGATGGAAGTTTGGAACGTTCTTGGAACGATTTTTTCAAAACGATTTCTCCCATTTCTCCTTTGGCACAGAGGTTCCTCTGCATGCCAGACAACAAATAGAAAAACACCCCTATCGAATGCACGCAACGGAAGACACCCGAAGTAGAAATGGGAGAAACCATTTTATGATTTTTTAGAAATTTTTTTGTTGTTTTAAGGGTGGTTTTTCGCCCATAAGGGTGTCTTCCTTCTATTTGTTGTCTGACATGCAGAGAAACCTCTGTGCTAAAGGAAAAATGGGAGAAATTGTTTTGAAAAAATCGTTCCAAGAACGTTCCAAACTTCAATCAGCTAACTTACAATAATAAATACATAAATACATGATCTTTCGTGATTCCGTTTGTCTGTTTCGAAACTGATGATGACTCAAGTGGAGCCAAAACGTTCATGTTAAAAATAAGATTAAATGCCATTAAAATTAAAATTAAAATCCAAGTTAGAATTTTCTGAGCGTGCGTATCAGTACTGATATATCAATTGGTTTTATAACTATTTTTCTTATAGAAATATTCTCTCTCTCTCTCTCTTTCTCTCTTCTATTCTTTAAATCCCATGGTTTTACCGTGACGTTCGTCTTATTCGAGAACGTTCGATGGCATTGCCTGGCATCAGCATCGCGTGGGAATGACAGGGTCGCGCGCACTTGTTGCCTCTGTCGATTTTTCTTCCGCAGCATGTACGATCTGTCAGTCGTACGACGGATGCGATCTACATCGTCCAATGCTTCCAGAGTCGGTGCCAACTTGGAATCGCGTATCCTTGCGAGCTCGTCTTTTTCTAGGATCTCGTCTGCCCTCTTGGCCATTGCAATCAGCTTTCTCTGACGGTCCTCTATTAAAATCCCCCATGAACGGTGCCACTGGACCATGTGGGCGATCAGATGCGCGTCCACGCTCAACGGTGTGACGCCGGTCTGCTCCAAGTATCTGCTAAGCTCGGTCCACATCTGGCCGAGTTTCAACCGTAGATACATTTCAACACAAGACAGTGTTATCTAAAAAAAAATCCGAAGAAAAATCCGCTGATTCATTTTGATATTGTGTAAAAAATTTAATTACTGTATTCGAATTTTCTGATCAAGGATAATGTTATCTTACGTGATCTTTCGTTGGCAATTCATCAAGTAGAATCTTGTAATGCTCCCTGGCGATTTCGTATTTGTCGCCGTCTCTCTCGATTATTCTCAAAATACTGAAGATTTTTGATCGCACTGAACCAATCATATCAGTTATAGTGGGACTGGCGTCTTCCGTAAGCTGTGAACGATAGGTGTCTAACCACTGCTTGGTGCCCATCTGAGGAAATTCAGGATCTGAAATTGCAAACGAATTTAATTATGTAGTCTTTAAATTTTTTGGAGTAAATTCTCACTTCAAGAGAGTGAATCTTCCTTTTTTTTTTTTGGAGTGAAATTTCACTCTGTTGCGTTTTAGAGTAAAATTTTTTCAAAAAGAGTGAAAATTGTTAGTCTTTTTGAAGAAGTAAAAAATATTTTTTCTCTTCTCCAAAAATAGCTGTATTTACAAAAATAATTTTAAAGATATCTAGGTACATATTTCTTAAATAAAGAGAACGTCTCTGTTTTCCCAATTATCAAAAATATTCTTTTACATCCACAATTTTAATTAATTTTAAATAAATTTTCAAGAAATATTAAATTAAAATAGATTGTCTTAGAAAAAATATCTTCATATATGAAGTTCGACGTTTTGATTCACGAGATTGTACCTGCTATGGAACCGTCGACGCGTCTTTTGATGCCAATTCTGTCTTCTTCTTCTCGCCAAATACTTGTGAGCAAAGACATCAGACCTGTCTTCTTATCAGCGCCCCTCCAGGTACAGAGACATGGTCCACAAAAGGTGTTATCACACATATCAGTCAGTGCACCGAGATACAAACATCTTACAGGATAACTCGCGATCTCAATGATGTCCAACATAGAATACAATCCACCGCCTTTTAAGAAAATTTGGAGATTCTCAGGACATCGCACTATGCATTTCCAAACGTAAGCACCTATTGCCAGCAAAAGCCTGTCAAAAAGTGATAAAAACAGTTTATTTATAACATATTTATTTCTGTTTTTCATGTCAATATGTAAATTCTTTTTAATTTCAATATGTACATTTCTTTAATTTTATGATAGTATTAATATTTATAATTATTGACAGGTAGTTAATATAATTTATTAATTATTAAATAACAAATTAATTAAAATAAAGAAAATTACGATAAAAACCGTCAAAGCAATATTTTTGTAAATTATATTTGTTTACCGCTGATCTATTTGAAAGTCCTCGTTTTTTCTACATAGACACTTTGTGAAGATTTCTAAAGTAAGCTCGACGCTTCGTTGTTCGCACATCTGTTCAACAGACATTTGTTTTTTTATAAGCCCTTCTAGGGAGATCAGTAGCAGCGTTAGAATTCGTTGCCTCCTCATCGTAAGCTTATCTAAATTCATTATAGTGATGAATAATTCTGAAATTACGAAGTAATATCTTTTATTAAGAATTCAAAGGTTATAAAGATTGTAAAAAAGTTATGTCAATTTTTATGTATAACGTATCTATGAAATAATTTATATTTCTTACGTATTAATAACGGTATCATTCCGTATTTTTGAAAATCCTCCAGAAGAAGAACGTTGTCCCGCAGAATTATAGAGCAGACGGATCTCGTAAAAATCATCGCAAGATACTCGTCAAATTCCACATTCAAAATTTGCTTGAGCATCATCAGTAATCTATGAATATTGAAATTTATTTCTTTTGACTCTGCATTAAAATCCGATTAACTTTTTATGTTATTTTTTTTTACATAAGAGTGCCTCTGCGCTTCACAAATTCCGTTTCTAATTGTGGAGCTAACAGTGATAAGATATGCATTGCACGCTCCAAAAGAATTAACGACGGAGAGCAGCCTTTATTGTTTTTATTATTCATACAAAATTTAATAATCCGGAGAATAACTGGCATAATCATCGCTTTGTCCATCACCTAAAAAATTAAAAGGTTATCTGTTAATATATGTTTTCTAAAATTTTTATAAATGGCATACATTTTTGTTAAAATAAATAAGTTCTGAATCTTTAATCTCAAAAAAGTCATATTTAAAAAATAACAAGTTGAAAAGATTCTTTTATATTTTTTGTGAATTTTTTTTATTGTATTGTTAAAAATTTTTTTAATAAAAATGATGAGAATAATTTACAAAGACATAAACGTCGATATCGGCGAGATAAGCGATGATCATCAGCAGGGTCTTTTTAAAGAAGAGATCCTCGTCGCTATCGGAGAACTTAACATTTTCTGTCCATATTTTAGTAGTGCCAGATTCAATTGCAGATAAAAGATTGACGATATCTTCCACGATACCACTACTGACGAGATCCCACGAAGGTAAAGCCACGATTCCAGCGAGGATCAATGCGGCGATGTCGTTCCTGATCCTCAAATTGACGGCGCAGTATTGACCGCGAAGTATCTGCCGCTTGAAGGAATACCTTAAGCCCCTGTACTGCGTCAGAAATCGTATATTTTATGCTTTACAGCTTATGTCTATTAAAGAGGAAACTATATAATCAATATACATGAATAAGACCCGAATAATATCTTGTAAATTAAAAACAAAAAGAAAAAAATATGTTTATATAATAAAATTGAATAAAATTTGTTCTATGATTATTTTCCTATCACGTTATCTTTAAATATTTAACTGCGATTAAGGTTATCAATAAATGATACCACATGGCGCACTGCTTGGGCGATGGAAGATCCTTCAGATGGACTGCAGTTTTTGAAGATAACACCGATCTCATGAGGCTCCACAAGAGTTTCATTATCAACAGCATGATGTCCCTGGGATATTCCTCTCCCTCAAGGGGAATATCCGGAGGTATGTTGCAGCGCAGCTGCGTCGCGTAAGGAAGATCCATTCTGGTTAACAACGTGTTCAGTACCCCAGCTTGCAACATTCTGTGACCTTTATTCATAAAACGTAAAATTGTAGTCCGTGCATGTAAAACGAGAGACGCCAGAAGCATTCTTTCTAAAAACTGCATCTTTGCTTTAACGTCCCAGCATGCGTGTTATTCGTTGGAATAATATTTGAATAAAATATGCGCTTAATATGTAAAAGCATTTGATGCAGTGTTCTGTTAAATTTGTTTTATACCTTTGCCTTTAAAAAACTCAAAATACAATTTCTGCTCAAAATGTATTTAAGAAATATTTAAGAAAAATTTAAAAGTAAGTTAAATTAAATTGAGAAGAGCAATTATTTTTATAATAATTTAAACAATATAGAAAATATCCCGATTCGTGATTACTCACAACATTGATTTGAGATCGAGGCGAGCATATAAGCCAGTTCCAAGATTTTCGGATATATCTTTGGGATAGCAGCGTCCAGCAGTTCGATGATGATAATCGGCAATCTAGAATTCTCCATAGCTCGACGACGAAAATCTAATTTCACTGCCGCAATGTTTATCGGTTTTGTCTGCCTAATTAGTAAACAATCAAGAGCCTCGTGAATCCGTTGGACATCTTCTTCATTAGGTAAAATTGTTAGGAGATAACCGAGGAACGTAAAATAGTGTTCTATTACGACAGAACTAGTGAGACTCTCGGAAGCTTGTTTCAATAAAGGCGGTTGACTGCATAACTGCAGCATCTTATCCAGATGTTCCCGATATTCAGCTTCTCTGCTCTTCCAGGCTAGAAATTCTAATATCTTCATTACAGCCGGCAGGTGTTTGACTGGCTGTGAAAGGTATCTTTAAGAAAACACACTTAGAAACGCTTAGAAAACATCGAGTGAACTGGAGCACTTGCGCAAGTGAAAGCAAAATAGATATAACAAAGAGTGTAAGAAATTAATTTTTAATAACTTTTGTTAATTTTCAAATAATGTTTTTGTTACAAAATTTCCAAGATGTTTTCATTAATTAACTGCTATCTTCGTGCGTGTGAAAGAGTGACTGTTACGTTCCTAAATTATACTGTACAATTTTTTGAAAGCAAGTATAATATATATTTTATTGTGTCACATAAATTAGCAGACTTTAATAATTCTCTCAATCAAACAAATTCAATCAATATTTTTAATTTAGTATACGTGTAGATTAAAGGATACGTAACCGTCATCGCCGATTTCACGCAAATAATCCGATAAAAATCGTGAAATTCTTTCGACATGATCGTTGGTGACAGGATCGGACACGAGTTGTCGCAATTTCTCTACAGTATAATCCACATCTATTCGACGACATTTTTCTGCATTGTTCAAATATGATAGGGGACAATCACATTTCACGTATTTCGAACAGACCGACTTCTTGGCGACAAAACGACGATCTTGCCGTTTTCGTTCCATTTATGCTTAATCGAGGAAAATGGTTATTACAAATTATATAGTAATCATCGATCTTGCTTGAACATTAATCGTTGATAATAAATTAACTTCGCGTTGCAAACCGACTGTATCTTGTTCTCGCTCACGATACACGATGACTTCAAAGTTGTCGATTCAGGTTCGTCCGTGTGATACTTTATTATATATATTATACCGATAAATTAAGACAGCTCGAGTCTCGATGAGATGAGAAACGCATCAAAAGAAAGATCCACGCAAACCGGTAACACGTGTTCGACGATTAATGAGGGGCAATATTCTGCATTAAAACTGCAATCATATAGTAATAGTTATATTAATTGGATTTATTGAAATTTAAGAGGACTACATTTTACAGATGAAATAAAACACAGCAAAAGAATATTAACTGTTTTATTTCAATTTTTTATAATATAAATTGTTAACATATTACGCGTGACGAGATAAATTAATTAAAAGATGTTTTAAAAGTAACAAGAACTCGGATTTACAAATTTTATGTAAAAAATATATTATATTATATATAAATTTTGTTTGCACAAAGGAAGCGGTGTAGGTAAAAATAACAATCCACTAACTGGCGCTCCCTGGACGCTAACACGCCAACTCACAAGTGGATGAGCCGGGTCTTTCCTTTCTCCTTCAAATATGCTATTCAAATATATTCTCTTATGATTATGCAATCCAACGTTATCCAAATCGTCCAATGAATATGAAAACGTATCCTTGTAAATCGACATTCATTGTTAATCAGTACTTGTACAAAAATCAAATTACAAAATTTTTTTCATGTCTCTATGAACGTGTATTGATATGTGTTTACAAAACTTAACCGTAATCGACAGGTGTCTTCGCACTCACACATACACTTGCAAGTAATATATAGGATTCACTTGATATAACACATTAAAAAAGAATTACAAATATAAATTTTATTCTTAGATTATTTTCCTTTAGATTATATTCTTCTTTAATTTTTTATAATTCTATTAAATATTTTGGTAATACTGCCTACAAATTTTATTTAAGTGTAACATCTGTTTTGCGTATGTAAAATTAAACAAAATCAAAATTTATTACTTGTGCACACAATCACATAATAAATTGTTTCACGAAAAATCAATCATTTTTATCGCTTATAATTTGAAAAACAAGTTTTTCTGCACCAATTCTCTTAAGAATTTTCGTTTCTTAAGTTTGTATCTGCAATTTCCTGACACCCTGTATACCGAGTAAGATTCTTCTTCCGAGTAACAGTCGGAGAGACAGAGAGAATTCCATACGCTGAAGCATGCGCGTTTCGCTCGTTTGATCTTTTCACATTCGTATTTTTCCGCACAATCGCTTTTCCGCAGAGCGGGAAAATTTACGATCCGCGAGAAAACTTAAGCTTCGTCTTCTCGACTCGACTCGTTTCATTTCGCGTCGCGACGTATTACTGATCGGCGAGACTTGGCCAGATGCGTTGAACAGGCAATCTGTCCTATGGCGGTTACAGTCACAATCGTGTGCATACATGCAATTGTCTACCCGCCGCACGCATGTGTGTACTCACACACAAGTAAGTGAACGTGCGCTCAGGGCCGACTTTAAGCTGGAGTATAGATGGTCACAGACTTATGCGTGATATAAGTATACATTTTTAATAACACAATTATCTTGAAATTAATCTCGCTGGATTAGGACTAAAAATTAATTAAAAAATCGCAATTATTATTTTATAATTACTCTATAGATAATTCAAATATCTGCTAATTAGTCTTAATAATAAAATAATGATTAGATATAGAGCGATATTCATGATTGGATCCTATTTTTAAGACTGTTTTAAGTCTTGAGGTGATATTCGATTATTTTATTAGTTGAATGGAAGACTGGACTTACATATAAAGTGATCTTAAATACAAATAAAATAGTAAATTGAGCCATGAGCCAAAACGAAAATTCGCGTGTATATATAAATTCAAAATTATATAAACATATTTAAAAAATTTTAATTTGCTGAATCTTGTTTTACGATTTTAATTTTGAATAAAGTAGATCATGTTACGAATATTGTCCCTAATTGAGGAAATGAGCGGAATAAAGACACTATTCTACTTAGGCCCTTTTTTCGGAGATTAGTGCAAATAAATAAAGAATTGATGTTGTTACATTAGTTAAATATGAACATAGTTTCGATTGTCCCGTAATGGTGAAAATGTTATAATTTATGGAAAAAGAGATTACATCTTTATCCATAGATTAATTATTTTAATGAGATTTTTTACCAGAGATTGAACGAAAATGGTACGACAATAATATATCTGCTGTACAACATATTTATATTAAAAAAAAATCTTACAAAATCTCCTTTCTATAATTCATAGCCTTTTCTTTCTGTTAATTCCTACAATACTATGATGGATATTCGATAAAATAGGACTAGGTACATTTTTTAATTATAAATAACTTTTTAAATATTGATCATAATAGAAAAATATTGTAACGTATAACTTCCTAAAAACATTATATTAAATAATGTTCCTATTTGTTGTATAATAAAAAAAGCAGTAAGTTATTTTAATTTTTATCAAAATTAAGACTTTGTAGGCTCATTAGATTACATAATTGCGTAAATACTTCTTCCTGAATTGCGGAAAATCGAAGTAAATTCGGAAATAAATTCGGAATTCGAACTCTATAGACGAGGGTTTCAAGATCTTCGCCTACGTCACTAACCACAACACAGGTGTGAGCGCGCGCACGCGCGCATCGCGGCCGCTCGCGTGCGCGTGTAAAGTCGGAGACCAAAGTAAGCGAGCGGCGACGACGGCAGTCGCGACGCTGACGCGAGGCGGTGTATCGCGCGGTGCGCGAGTTTACCTCGCGATTTTCGTCCCGTGCGCGCGAACGAAGGCAGTATCGCGCTTCATTCGAGTGCTCCAGATGATACTGAAGATCTGAATAGTGAAATAGAACATTTTGCACGGAGATGTGACGAATTGTTTAACAACGGCGACCTTGGCGGGACGGTGAGTGACCTCTGCGACGCCGCTCTTCTTCCTACTCTTTCGCGCTGCCGCACGCGTGTGTGCGAAGCGTCTTCTTCTTCTATTGCTGCTCCTTCTTCTCCCCTCGGTGCACACCACTGTATAAGTATTTTCCCACGGGAAAAGTGACCTTTTAATTGCCACGCCGGTTGCCGGTTAACGAACCGAGTATCATTAACGAAGTCTCTCTTTCCCGCGTGGTTTTTCCACCGATGGGAGAAACGCGCGCGCTGTCAATCGATGACACGCCGCATGCGGTCGGAATAGACTTGTAGAAAAATACTATACTATTAAAAAATGAGCATCGTTAAAAATACACTTGATTGTTCTTTATAAAATACGAAAAATTTATTTTCGAAAATCTAAACACTTTAAACTGTGAAAATTTTGATGACTTTTAAAATACAAAGAGATAGTTTGGAAAATTTAAATTTTAAGAAATTTTTTTTAGGATCTAGAAGAGAGAAAAAAGAAATCTATTATTTTTATTATTTTATCAATTTCATTTTAATGATTGCATGTGTCTTTTATTGACTGTATATCTCTTGCATTATTATCCTTTAATATAATCATATTTATATACAATATAAAACAATTAAAATTTAATCTAAATTAAAAATATATTTGAGGAAAGAAAAACTTACAGGAAAGGATATAGTAAAAGATTATCTCATTTGTTTTATAAATTTATTTTGATAAATATTTGTAAAAATAAAAACATCTTACGCAAGACTCATCGCTAAGTTTGAAATTATAGGAATTCAAAGCAATAAAGAATAAAGTAAATTGATTTAAAAATCTCTTTTGTCATTCAACATTATATTTGAAACGACATTGAACTTGCTTTATTTTTGCACTCACTCTTGCGACTAAAATCTCTCTTCAAATTCGAAAAAGAAGAAGCTCTTAAAAAGACTTGACGAGATCTCACCCCGAGAAGAAACGCGCTGTCTCGAGGGAAATCCGATTCGGCGAAGACCTAAAACGAAAGGCCTGTCGGGGAGAAAGCCTCCCTTGATACAACACGCGTTGCGACGCGTGCGTTCCTCGGGCGAGCGAATCAATATTTGGAGGGTAGGCGTTTGCGTCCCGACGAACGGCGTCGAGGCCGACGGAACGTGAGTCACTCACCCCTGTCTGAGAAAGAGAGAAGCAAAGAGAAAGGGGACTGCTGACCTCTCTTTCGCCCCCTTTTCTCGTGTCCGATACACAGCAGCCCTTGTTACGAAAGTCTCGTTGTTTCTCGCAGATTTAAGCCGTTCGCACATTTTTTGTTTTTATTTGTTTCAATTTTAATAGTTGTTAGTTTGGATAATCGCAGATTTTCCGAAGATTTATTTTTTATGAGTGTAACAAAATAAACATGTTAAATATTAGACATGTGCGAACTATTTTAACACGAATCAAATCGAATCAAGATTCGATTCGATTCAAATTTAAATCGTTGTAATTCAAACATGAACTATTCGAAAATTTCAAATCTATGGCGGATATTCATAGTCGGTTCTTATTTCAAGACCATCTTAAATAATGTCTTAAGCAGCTAAATGCGGTTGTTTGTTGATTCATAACGTCTTAAGACTAAACTTAAGACAGTCTCAAATATAACAATCGATTATAAATACCGATCTGAGATTTTTAAATAGAAGAATCTAATACATATGACAATCTTATATTTTACATATACAAACATTGTATATACATTAAGTGTTGACCAATGAAATTCCAGTGAATTTGCTCACTTTTATAATTTTCACCTTTTTTCAAGGTACACGATCGATTTTCAGATTCGATTCGATTTAGAGTTAAAAAACCTTGATTCGCACTTCTCTATCAAATAAAATGTATTGATGTATTAATTGCATCAATTTTTGTTTTTTGATTGTTTTAAAATAAATTATTTATTTTAACGGAATCCATTATTCCTATAAATTCACGTTACCTATATAA